ACGCGGCCGCGGTGGCGCTGACTGCTGGGCACATCCCAGCTGGGCGACGACACCGACGACGTCTCCAACGACTTCGACGCCGACAACGACGACGACGACGACGACGACGACGACGACACCGACGACGACGACGACAACGCCGACGCCGCCGACGACGACGACGACGATGACAACGACGACGACGATGACGACGCCGACGCCGACGACAACGACGACACCGACGACGACGACGACGACGTCAACGACGCCGACGACGACGACGACGACGACGACGACGACGACGACGGCGGCGACGACGACGACGACGCCGACGTCGACGACGACGAAGACGACGACGACGCCGACGCCGACGACGACGACGACGACGAAGACGACGAGGACGCCAACGAAGACGACGACGAGGGAGGAGGGAGGACGACGACGGCGACAACGCCGACCACGGACCGACAACGACGAGGGAGTGAGGGAGGCCGGCAGGAGCGCGAAAACGACGAAGAGAAGGCCGGCGAACGCCGACGACGACAACCGACGGAGGGAGGAGGGGACGACGACACACGACGACGACGACGACGACGACGACGACGACGACTGCGACGAATTAGGAGGACACGACGAGACCCGACGACGGACGATGACGACAACGACGAGGGAGGAGGAGGAAAGAACGAACCACAGTCGACAAACCCCGGACGGAAACGGACCACGACGCCAAGCTCTTCAGACACCGACGAACAGGAGTAAAGACAGAGACGCGTAGGCGACGACTACGAACGAACGCGGGAGGAGGGAGGACGGCGACGACGGACGACTACACACGACGACGACTGCAAGAGCGCAGCCGGCACGCACGGCTTTTCGCGCACCGCGCGCACGCTTTTGTTGAAAATCCGTGTTGCGAAACCTTGTGTTTTTGTAAATTGTTTGGACACACGATTTTGACATCCTTCCGAAACCGATGGGTTTTGAAGGATTTCGGCATACGCGCGCGACGACGCGCGCGTATGTACTTCGTCCCATTTGTTACAGAGGATTCTCGCGACGGCACACGCGCAAGGGCGTTCGACAGATTTCGACATGCGCGCGCGCGAAGCTTTTCGCAAGAGCTCGCACGTAAGCTGTTTTAGCAAATCAGTGTTGCGAAACCCTGTGTTTTTGTATGTTTGTTTGGAAACTCGATTGTGAAATCCTTCCGACACCGAAGGTTTTTAAAGGATTTCGGCATGCGCGCGCGACGACGCGCGCGTGTGCACTTCGTCCCATGTGTTGAAAGGGATTCGCGAAAAAGTGCTATGTTAGAACGAAAGATGTCCCCGCGTATCGTTTTTTACAAGGGAACCTCAGGGGGGCCGATCCCGGCCCCGGCCCCTCTGGGATAGTGAAAATTCATAGTTAGGATGCACATGCGGTCAGAATCTTATATGATTTACAATACCCGAAAAAGGGGTGATAACGCCGGGGGGGGTAAAGTCTATTCTGTTTTTAGAAAGGGGAATGTATGTGATGCGCAGTGTACGTAGTACAAACGGCCTGGCGCCATCTAAATGATGCAATGGATGTTTTTGTTTATGGCGCTTGCGTCTACACTTGAGATGTGGTCATGGGCCGTTCCACCGCAACACCTACTACGACGGCAACCCGTTTAAACGTCGCATCGCAACGCGCGTTTAAGGGATAGGAGTCAGGCAGCGGAGAAGCCCTAAATGTCCCATGGCTGCACCATAAGACATTTAACGGTGTTCCGTTGGCGGGGCTCCCTTGTGGCTATATGGGTCAACAAAGCAGCAGCAGCCGCAAACGACAACAACGACAACAACAGCAGCATGATAAAACAACAGCACAAACAACACCATCAACCAAAACATCAACACCGACGACGACGACACCAACAACAAGAACCATACCAACAACTAACGTTCTGGTCGTTCGGCCAGTCTTGTGGTCAATAAGCCCAGGCGGGACAAACATATCCGGCGAAGACATAGGATGAACAAAGGCAGTAACACTAAAAACAAGAGACGAACCTCACACCAAGACCAACAACACAACTGGCATCAAGAACTAATGCAACGACGACATCAACCGCAACAAAAATAATACCACCCATACAATGTGTCAACATAGAAGTACCCCTCGCACACATGCTCGGTTCATAAAACTCTGGCGTGCTGCGGCCCAGCAAAAGCCACCAGCAATGTTGGCAAATCCGATGATCTGCACGACAGCGACAACCATAGTAGAAACCAGCAGCACCATAACTGCAACAGCGACAACAAGTCACAAACAACACACAACGGCACCACCAACAACGCCGCCATAACATGGCGCCGCCTCCAAAAGGTATTCCGTGACATACGGACGCCGCCACCAAGGGAGACTCCGTGACATACGAACGCCGCTGCTGGGGGGGTATTGCGTGACATAAGACGCCAGCCTTCGCAAAGCCAGCAGGGGCAACTGGCAACATATTGCCCTACAGCTCATTTGCGCGTTAACGTGACTGCACAGGTAAATCATGACATGTTGGCTCCAGGAAAAAGTGCTGACTGTCAACATCCCACCCCATCAATTCCGTCGAGCTGTTCATGCGGGCATCAAAACACAGCACCAAGAACAACAACAAAAACGACGAGACCATCAGCACCAAAAAATAGCGAGAGGCAGCAACGGAAATCCGCCGACCCTGCCGGCGTGTGGGAGAGGCTTTTCCGTCTTCCCCACAGCGTCGTCGCCTCTTCTGCTTTCTGAGGGCTCCCTACACAAGTCCACTCAAAAATTGAACAAAGTCGTCCTTCAGTCGAAACGAAGCCCCTTCCCTTGATCCCTTCCCCGCCGAGGGGGGGGGGGGTCCCGGCACAACTCCCAGGGGGGATCCCCCCCCGGGGGGGGGATCCCCCCCCGGATACGCAGCCCCCCGCCTCTCATCCTCTTGCGTCCTGGGGTTCCGTTGGCCCTCCTGGGCCGTCTGCGAGCCCTTTCAGCCTATCTAAGGTTCCTTCGAGACCTTTCGCCATTTTTAGACTCGCTTGGCAGCCTCTGGCGGCACTCTTGACAGCCTCTGCGGACGTTTTTTGGACCTCGCTTGACGCCGTCTTGGAACCCTCTCGGGCCGCTTGAGGGCGCTCTTTGCCTATCTTGGCACTCTCTGGAGCCGTTCCCGAACCCTTGCAGGCATCTGGCGCCGCCTTCGAGCCATCTGAGGGCATCTTGGACTCCTCTACCTCCATTGTCTTCGTCTTCGCTGCCTACAGGGTCGGCGGCACCGGCCGTAAGGTCTTCGCAATATGATTCCACCATTGGCCTAAACAGATTCTGAAAGGATCGCAAAACTAATCCTATGGCTCCAAGATGGCACCCCTGCTAAGCAATGGCCCCAATATGGCCCCAGAGCGCCCCCAGAGCGCCCCCGCGGCTCCGAGAGAATACCGAGACGAACACCTGGTTTTCCACCCGAACTAAGGTTACCGGGTGACCCCGATTTGAATCTGAGGTGGCCCCGAGACGACCCCATGAGCCCAAGACGACCTCGAGATTGCCCCTAGAGGACCCCGCGAACCCCAAGTTGAGCACAAGCTTGCCCCATGGCTCCAATGTGACTCTGTTACATGTCTCCCTTCTGGCTAAGCGGCTTTGCTCTTGGCTCGGGCCAATAGGACGGATGTGGTTGCTGGCCCTCCACCCCCTCGCCGTCGTCCTCTTCCTCCTCACCGTCGTCCCCGTCGTCCTCATCGCCCTCGTCGTCGTCGTCATCGTCGCTATCCGCCTGGGCCCCCCCAGACCAATACACAGCAGAACACCGCATCCCCGACGCAAGCCGAATTCATAGTTTCTCTGATCTCCGGCGTAGCAACGCGAAGGCCCGACGCAGCCTCTCAAAGTCCGCCGCTCGCTCGCCTCCAGCGGGGCTCGGCGGCTGGCTACGCGGGCCACACTCCTCGGCCCGCGCACGAGCGGCCTCCAGAGGCGCCTTGTCCAGTGGGGTGCCGAAGGGCGAAGAGACAGATCGCCAGGAACGGACCAAACATTCAAATACATATAAACATAAACTGTCGGAGGTCCGCGCGGAATTCCTGGGTCGGCGCTGGACCCCTCTCTCTCGTGCGAGGAGCGCGCGAGGGGCGGCGCCGGGAGCGCCGCCAGGGGGGCTGGCGCCGACCCAGGAAATCCGCGCGGACCTCCGACAGTTTACGTTTGTGCCATTTCTTATTCGATAACTGGCGCCACGTGGAGGACCGCCACCCGCAGCACGGTGAAGGTGAGTAGTAGGGGCGGTATAGTCAGATGCTCGTTTGAGGAACCATCCTGGAGCCGCTCGCTACACTCATGCGTCGATGCTGCGTTGAATGTCCGTTCGACTTGAGTCGAACTTGAGTCGCACCTGAGTCGAGTTAGAGTCGAGCTAGGTGGAACTATAGCCGAACTATCTTCATACAGGTCCGTCGGGTGGGCCCCAGGAAGGTTCCCAAAACGAACATCGAGAGAGAGGGAACAGCAGGGACAGCGAGGGACAGGCGCCAAAGAAGGGGCAGGGCAGATGCGAGAGCGGATGCGGGGAGAGGGCACGGGGAGCAGATCGGTTCAATTCTCGAGCCCTTGAATCAAATGTGTCACTGGTGGCGAATTTCCAGCTCTTGTTTGGGCCAGAAAGTCATTGCTACATTGCTACACCACCTGTCGTCACCCCGCCTTGGAGCGAGCAAGCAAAATATTGAACGGGAGCAGAAGCAGGGGGTGGAGATGGGGCAGTAGCATGAGGACCATCGCCTGCAGGAGGCACATCCATATCCACAGCACCGCAGTCTGGACTCCTCACTGGCAGCACTACGGATGCAGTGCGGCTTTGCACGGATGCCCCGCGCGGAGCGTACCCTTAGGCTCGCGTGTCAGTGGGAATGAGGTATCTCGACCACAAGGGCCGGGATATGAATGTGAACATGTTCGCCGTCTGTAAGATCTGGCGAACCAGGACGAGAACGAAGAGGAGGAGAGGAGCGGCAGGCCCATCAACTGTCTGCACACTTCGAATCGGAAACAACAAGTCACTTGACTTGACAGCAGCTGATCATCGCAGTCCTTCTGGTGGCACGCTTCCTCATCTACATAGTCAAGGTGGTGTCGGCTGGGCATAGTATCTATCCCGCGACGCCGCGAACCCAAAGCAAAGCGAGGAGGCCGCGTTGGCAAACCCGATCGCCCGGAAGTAGGGGAGCATCTGGGGTACAAGTAGCATCGAAACAAGCTGGATACCATACGCACAGCGGTTCGCAACGAGCCGTGACATGCAGGGCTCCCGAATTCTATACCAACAGCGTAACCTACAAATGGGCCGATCTGGCAACCACCAATAACGCCCGTGGCGTCCTAGTCCGCGACGCCGGGAGCCCAGGCCGTCTGTCACCAGACCCGGGGGGGAAACAACAATGCACACATACCGCCACTCCCTGGACCTCTCCAGGGGCACGCTCTGACCAAGACTCCGAGGCGGATCCACCCGTGACCGCGAGGGCCCCCCAGGAGATCCAAAAGGGCGACAACGATGCAAAGCTTCGTGTGCGAATCGGCATGTTCGCCGACACCTCCGACTCCGCTCCAATCGGCCCCCAGCCCCCTCCAGGGGTCCATCCTGGCCAAGAGTCTCGAGCTACATCCAGCCGCGGCGGCCAAAATCCGCAGAAACGCCCACACATCTCCGGACAGAGGACGGCGGCGTCGTCTGTATCGGCATGAATTGCTCATCCGAGTCACGAGAGGAGGATGAGGTGGATGAGAGGGGGGGATCATGACAAGCCGGATACGAAGGAGGGTGAGGAGGAGGGGAAGAAGAGGAGGCTGAGGACGAGGAGAATGACGAGGAGAAGGAGCTAGAGGAGGAGCTGGACAAGGAGGAGGAGAAGGAGGAGCTAGAGTTGGAGCCGAAGGGAGCTGGACGAGGAGCTTGAGGAGGAGCTCGAGGAGCTGAAGGAGCTGGAGGAGGAGCTGGAGGAGGAAGTGGAGGAGGAGCGGGGGACCCCCGGTTTCCAAAACAAAAACACAGCGCCGCGGATCGGACCAAGGCCTTGGACAGCGCGGCGGCGGTGGGCACAGCCGAGGGGGCTCACGCGATGCCAAGCTGGGCCACCTCCGCTCGCAGCAGCTCCACCTCTTACGGCGGAGCTCCTCCAGCTTCTCCTTCCTCCTCCTGAACCAGCTCCTCCTCCTCAACCAGCTCCTCCCCCTCCAGCTCCTCCAGCTCCTTATCTTCCCCTCCAACTCCATCACGTCCTCTTCCTCCGTCTCCTCCGTCTCCTCCTCCTCCTCTTCATCTTCCGGCAGCATGCATCAACATCATCGGCATCAGCATCATCATCAGCATCATCATCATCAGCAGCAGAAGCATCATCATCATCATCATCATCATCATCATCATCATCATCAGCAGCATCATCATCGTCGTCATCATCATCACCAGCACCAGCATCATCATCCTCATCATCATCAACCTCAACATCAACATCACCACCATGATCATCATCAGCATCAGCATCATCATCAGCAGCAGCAGCAAAATTATCAGCATCATCAGCATCATCATCATCGGCATCATCATCAGCATCCCCATCTCATTCATAATCATCATCACCAGCATGATCAGCATCAGCACATTCATCATCAGCTTCAGCATCATTGTCATCATGCTTCCCACCACCATCATCTACTCATCATCATCATCATCATCATCATCATCATCATCAGCAGCATCATCATCGTCTTCATCTTCATCAGCATCATTACCAGTATCAGCATCATCAGCTTTATCATCAACATCCTCATCATCACAAGCAGCATCATTATCCTCATCATCATCGTCAGCATCAACACCATCAGCATCATCATTAGTATCACCATCACCATCATCATCAGCATCATCAGCATCGTCGTCATCATCTCCACCATCAACATCATCATCAGCATCATCATCATCATCATCAGCGTCGTCCTCGTCGTCGTCGTCGCCATCGCCATCGTCGCCGTCGCCGTCGCCGTCGCAGTCAGCAGCATCAGCAGCAGCATCATCATCATCCTCATCATCATCATCAACATCATGAGCAGCATCGTCGTCGTCGTCAGCATCATGATCATCATGAACACGATCCGCATCATCCTCATCGTCATCGCCGTTCGCCTCGTCCTTGTCATCGGAAGCATCAGCATCACCAGCGACGGCCTGATCCTCGTCATCCTAATCCCCATCCTCGTCATGCCACCACCATGGCAGCATGATGCTCAGACACGTCAGCGAGATCATGATCATGATCATCAGAATCAGCCTCCTCATCCAAATCATGACCATCATCATCATCATCATCAGCATCATCGTATCTATACGACAACCCTTCGGGTGATAAGGAGGTTGTGGGGGGGGAGAGGGGGGGAACCATCATCTAACTCATTCGATCTCACCATCGATCTGACTCAACGGGACACCGCGAGACACCACGAGACACCACAGGACACCACGGGACACCACGGGACACTTATCGATCTCACTATCGATCTCACTATCGATCTCACTCAACGGGACACCACGGGACATCCCGGGACACCACGGGACACCACGGGACACCTCTCGATCTCACGATCGGTCTCACTATCGATCTCGCTATCGATCTCACCCAACGGGACACCATAGGACACCACGGGACACCACGGGACACCTCGGGACACCACATCGATCCCACTATCGATCTCACTATCGATCTCACTATCGATCTCATTCAACGGGACACCACGGGACACCACGGGACACCACGGGACACCTGTCGATCTCACTATCGATCCCACATTTTTGGACACCACGGGACACCTCGGGGCACCACATCGATCTCACTATCGATCTCACTATCGATCACACTCAACGGGACACCATGGGACATCACGGGACACCACAGGACACCTGTCGATCTCACTATCGATCTCACTATCGATCTCACTTTTTGGGACACCACGGGACACCTCGGGGCACCACATCGACCTCAGTATCGATCTCAGTATCGATCTCACTACCGATCTCACTCAACGGGACACCACGGGACACCACAGGACACCACGGGACACCACAGGGCACCGCGGGACACCGCAAGCCACCGACGGACGGACGGACGGACGGACGGACGGACAGGCGGGGGAGAATCATTTGTCTTGACTTCGCCCTAGCACCGGCGGACACCACGGGACACCACGGGACACCACGGGACACCGCGGGACACCGCGAGCCACCGCCGGACGGACGGGCGGGGGAGAATTATTTGTCTTGACTTCGCACTAGCAACGGCGGACACCACGGGAAACCACGGGACACCACGGGACACCGCGGGACACCGCGGGACACCGCGGGCCACCGCCGGACGGGCGGGCGGGGGAGAATCACTTGTGTTGACTTCGCCCTGAAAACGGCGAACACCACGGGACACCACGGGACTCCACGGGACACCACGGGACACCGCGGCCCACCGCCGGACGAACGGGCGGGGAAGAATCATTTGTCTTGACTTCGCCCTAGCAACGGCGAGCTCATTCCTCTCGCGCGCCCACGCAGCTTCGGCTCGCCCGCACGCACGACATGAACGAAACGAAACGATTTCCTGGCTTGGGGTCTCCGTTCCACTGCGATCTCACCCCCAACCTCCGAATCAGCATCATCAACATCATCTTTGGCATCATCACCACCACCACCACCACAATCATCATCATAATCATCATCATCAGCAGCATGAACATCTTCATCATCATCATCATCATCATCATCATCATCATCATCAGCATCATCATCATCATCATCATCATCATCATCATCAGCAGCATCATGATTAGTATCATCATCAGCAGCAGCAGCCGCATCATCGCATGATCACCATGATCATTCACAGCATCAGTAGCAACAGGCACATCAGCAATATAGCCATAGTCAGATCCATGTCCACATCTAGCAACTGTTACAGCATCAACAGAATCGGCATCGCCACCATCATCCTATCACCATGGTCAACCTGCCCATCGTCACCTGACCCACCTAAGCATCGGCGTAGTCCTGATCATGCGTCTCGTGGTCAACCCCAGATGCCCCCCACCACCACCATCATCATACGCATGCTCATACACAGCGTGAGTATCATCACCAGCCACCTTAGTATATGCATCATCAGTGTGGTCACCACCACCATCGCAGTCGTCATCATCTTCATCATCACGATCGGCATTCACCTCTTTACCATCAACATAACCATCATCATCAGCATACTCATCGTCAGCTTCATCATCATCATCAGCATCAGTCACTGCATGGCCACCCTCCCCGATCAACTTCATCATCGCCATCGCCATCTTCCTCATCCATCACATTCTACACATGATCGCCCGGCCCATCCTCGCTGCGCATCCTACGCATGGTATCCTCATGCACCTCCCTCATTACATGTCATCCGTTTCACCCGCGGAACTCCTCTCTCCCCCCCCCCGAGCAACGACCCGAACAAAACAACTGGCGAGGGGGGAACGCCCAAGAACCCTCAATACAGCTCCCGCTCCTCCTCATTCCCCGCTGCTCGCTCCTCGTCGCCCCTCGCTCCCCGCACTCCCGCCTCCTCCTGCTCTTCCTGGACAAGCACCGCACGCCGCCGTTGCTGTCTGGCCGCCAGTCCGTCCGTCGTACTGACTCTGAGTCTTTGAGCGTCTCAGCTCTGGGAGGCGTAGGCCGCCGCTGCCCTCTCCCTTGCGGGTGGCCCTGACGAGGTGGGGCGGGCGGGACCCCGAAACGCGTCCCGTGGGCTGAGCATGGCACGAGGTTGCAAACCCGAAAGGCCTGGCGGCTGCTCCAGGGGGGTGTCCGGGGGAGGCCGCGGCACCGCTCAGCGACGCCATGTGTACCAAGCCCCTCACGGTGGGCCCGCTCGAAAAAAGACATATAACGATTCGGTGCGGAGCGTTAGCGCGCCTCGTATCTGTCGTCATCGTCGGCTTCGTCGTGGTCATGGTGCGTGCTGCTTTGATCGGGATGGTTTCCGCATGCAGTCGCCTCCTCCTCCTCCTCCTCCTCCTCCTCCTCCTCCTCATCATCATCATCATCATCATCATCATCATCACCCTCCTCTTACCCCTCATCCTCCTTGCACCTCACTCATCGCCCCTCGCCTCCTGCCCCCTCCTCATCCTCCCTCCTCCTCCTCATCCGCCTGGCTCCACGACCCTCTCTCCCTGCCACTCCTCGCTCCTCGAGCCCCCGCCCCTCGCACTGCCTCCGCGATACGACAGGGGGAGCATCGAAGAGCGGGGGCGCGTGCGGCGCCTCTCGTCGCCACTCCTTCTCGGACCCGTTGATCTGGTCCTCCCCCGACAGGGGGGGGGTCAAGGCAGCCAGCAATCCTGACTGCGTCTTGGCGCCGGCCTCTAAACACTCTCCCCTCACCCTGCCCTCTCTCCTGCTCCTCCCTCCCGTTTCCGTATAGATCCGCCACCGTGCCCCCTATCACGTTAAGACGTGGTAGAGTGCCCAGGGCCCCCTGGTAAGATTTGTATAATATTACGAGGTCCCCGCCCCCCGCGCAGCAGAATTTCCCATGCACTGTCCCCCCTCCCGAGGCGGCATGGGCGGACCGACGCCTCCCTGGCGCTCTTTAAGGCGTACACGATGTCCGAGATGGCTTCCAGGACGGCTCAGGAAAGCCACCAAGGCCGCCAAGAAGTTATAATACGCCCCCAGAGAAGGCACTAGGTGGCCCCAAGGCCGCCCAGGATGGCGTCAAGACGGTCCGAGATGCCTTCAAGAGGGCCACAGGAGGACCCCATCACAAGATCCCAAGAAACCGAATCAATGTTTTGTCCGTCTGTGGATGACAAATGTTCACGTTCTTGCCCTTCCGGGATTCCGTCAACCCAAGACGGCCCAAAGAACCTCAGACGGCACAGAAACGGAAAAAGCGCTTCAGAAACAGAAACCGAAATTACTCACACCACCGTTCGTACTGGGAGCCTTGGCGTTGAGAGCTTTTTACGTCACCCCTCGCTCTTGGGAGCCTTGGTGTTCAGAGATTGTTGCGTTGCCGCCCGTTCCTGGGCCTTGGCTGGGCCTTGGTGTCAGGAACGTGTTACGTCACCGCTCTCTGAGGGGAGCCTTGGTCTTATCAGCTTGTTTACGTCACCGCTCGCTCTTGGAAGCCTTGGTGTGAAGAGCTTTTTGCGTTACCGATCGCGTTTTATTTGGCGTCTCTGGGCCTTCTTGGGAGTCCTATTGGGGCCCTTTTGGAGCCCTTTTGGGGGCCTCTTGGGGGCCTCTTGGGGGCCTCTTGGGGCTTCTCGGGGGATTCTTGGGGCCTCCTGGGAGCTTCTTGGGGCGAAAGGCTAGACTGTTCGGATCGTGGTCCCCCTCTTGGGGCCGTCTTGGGGCCCTCTTGGGCCGTCTTGAGCGCCTCTTCGGCCGTTTGGGGCCCTCTCGGGCCGGTTTGGGGGTCTCTTGGGCGCCTCTTGGGCCCTTCTGGGACGGAAAAAGGGGAGAACCCGAAAAACACTCACAAAAACCCAACGGAAAACCCAAACACGGCCATTAGACCGCATCCGTCCAACCCTCCCCCCTCCCCTGGACCCCTCCCTAAAGGGCTTCGCCCAAACACAACGTCATCACTCGTACCTCGCTCTTCCCGTTACCTCAGACATTGCACCAAGACGACCCAATATATAGACCGTCAACAGGGTCCCAAGACTGGCCAAGAGGACCCCATGGTAGCCCGAGAGGCCTCCAAGACGGCCCCGAGACAGCCCCAGACGGCCTCAGGAGAGACCCGAAACGGTATTAGACGGCCCATTGAAGGCATATAGCAGCGTCAAGACGGCCCCTAGACACGCCCCATCCAAGAGGATTCCGAGACGGCCCAAGAGAGCCAAACGACGGCCTCAGAGGGCCACAAGACAGCCTGAGAGGGACACAAGACGGCCCCATAAGGCCCCCAGGATCGCCCCACAGGAGCCCAGTGGCCCCAAACTGGCAAGACTGAGCTCCATGAGAGCTCTTCAAGACATGAAGACGAAAGGTGCCACATGTGACGGGCCCCCCTCTTCCTCCTCTTCTTGCTCCCCCTCCTCCCCTCCTCCTCCTCCTCCTCCTCTCCTCCTCCTCCTCCTCCTCCTCTCATCATCATCATCATCATCAGCATCAGCATCATCATCATCATCATCATCATCATCATCATCATCATCATCATCATCATCATCATCATCATCATCATCATCATCATCATCATCATCATCATCATCATCATCATCATCATCATCATCATCCATCATCATCATCATCATCATCATCTCTCCTCCTCCTCCTCCTCCTCCTCCTCATCCTCTCCCTTCTCCTCCTCCTCCTCCTCCTCCTCCTCATCCCCCTCCTTCTCCTCAATCTCACATACTGAATCATCATCCTCCTCATCTGCCTGCTCCTCCTCCTCCTCCTCCTCCTCCTCCTCCTCATCATCATCATCATCATCATCATCAGCAGCATCATCCCCAACATCATCACCAGCATCGTCATCCTCATCATATGCCTGCTCATTATCCTCCTCCTCCTCATCATCAGCAGCAGCATCAGCATCACCATCATCAACAACAGCAACATCATCATCAGCATCATGAGTACAATCAGTACCATGATCTTAATCATCATCATCATCATCATCATCATCATCATCATCATCAGCAGCAGCAGCAGCAGCATTATCGGATTTATCATAGGCCTCATCACCCTCATCCTCACCTTCGTCCTCATCATCATTCACATCAGCATCATCAGCACATGCATCACCATCACCATCACCATCATCATCACCATCAGCATCATCATCAGCAGCATCATGACCATCATCATCATCATCATCATCATCATCATCATCATCATCACCATCATCATAATCACCATCATCATCATCAGCATCAACATCATCAGCAACATCATCGTCATCAGCATCGCCACAATCATTACCAACATCCTTATCACGGCACCCCCAAGCTTGGGGACACGAGGTATCACACGTGACGGCCTCCCGTGCCCTCCTTCGGATGGTCGCCACTCAGAACGCCAGGCTGACAAAGTAGCGGGACTTGCCGCAGGCATCTGGGTAACTCCTCCCTGTCGCACCCCCAGACGCGTCGGTCGGGCGGGGCGGGCTCCCAAGAGTGGCACTGCGCTGCGCCGAAGGGCTCGTCTTCGAGGCGCTTCAGCTGGCCGCTAAGCGGTCCAGCCGGCTGGCCACAAAGTGGGTCAAGCGAGGTGGAGTGAGCTCGTGGACTGAGCTCGTGGACATTCCTTCTCTCCTCCTCATCTCCTCTTGATGGCGTCGCGTACCTTCCTCTCCCCTTCTCCCAATCCTGCAGCTGTTCCTCCTCCTCCTCCTCCTCCTCCTCCTCCTCCTCCTCCTCCTCCTCCTCCTCCTCCCCCTCCTCCCCCTCCTCCCCCTCCTCCTCCCCCCGCCTGCTGAGGGCCTCGGAAGCAGGGGGCGGGGAGGAGAAGCAGGAGGAGCGGAGGAGGACGTTTCAATCCAGCTCGACGGGCATCGGCACATTGGCCCGAATCGGGCTCAAGGCATAAAAACTTAGGCACTCTGCGCTGTAGGTCTTCGCGAAGGGCCACAGATGCTCTTTGGGAGGGTCCGTTGATGTGGTGGGGGAGCAGAGGGGTAGATGAGATCGCGGGCTCCGGGCCCACGGCCCCCCCCCCCAGATGGGATGGGTCCCAGGGTCCTCGCCCCCCCCCCCAGATGGGATGGGGGGATGGGGGGGAGGAGGAGGAGGAGAGGAGGAGGAGGAGGAAGAGGAGAGGAGGAGGAGGAGGAGGAGGAGGAGAAGGAGGAGGAGGAGGAGGAGAAGAAGGAGGAGGAGGACGACGACGACGACGACGACGACGACGACGACGACGACGACGGCGACAACGACGACGACGACGACGACGACGACGTCGACGACACCACCAGCGGCGGCGGCGACGACGTCGAGCACCGGAGCTGTCAACATGGCCAATCCCAGCCACACGCCGCACCCACACCGCACCCACAGGGAGGGAGGGAGGGGGGGAGGAGGACCATGGCGTCACCCCGCACACACCCACAGCAACACACCACACCCACACCACATCACAGGGGGGGCACGCCACGCCCACGCCCACAGGGGGGGGCCACCGCGGGGGGGGGGGGGGGGGGCCGATGGCATTAGCATTGGAGGGGGGGGGGGGGCCAAACCCTCGACCATATATGAAGGGGGAGTCATCCTGGCCACACCCAGACGCTGCAGCATACTCTTGAGTATCTGCTGCTCCAAGCTGTCAAGTATACACCCTGCGAAATGCTTAAGAAATCATGGGTTAAGAAATTCATAGTCTCAGAACTTGAATAAAAACCCAACATTTCTATTAAAATCTTAGGATTTACATTGAAACATTAAGAATAATCGAGACTCTGGCCGAAAACTTTGGTTTTCTTAAGCATCGCCTAAGGTGTACTCTTGAGTATCTGCTGCTCCAAGCTGTCAAGTATACCTTGGTTTCTGCCGACGCGCGCCGCCGCAGTACCAGGGCCTGACCTTCTTTTCTCGAGCGCTGCGCTCCGAGCAGTTGTTTCATGGATCGTTGCCACCAAGACGCGACGGCTCAAGCACGCCAGCGCATGCCCAGGTGAAAAGGAGCGGAGGAGGAGGGGCGGAAGGGGAGGCCGAGAAGGCGGAAGAGCAGGTGTAGGCGGAGGATTCGGAATCGGAGGCGGTGGAGGAGGAGTTCAGGAGGACGAGCGCAGAGACGGAGGCGGAAGCTGAGAGGGAGGACAGGACCCTGCCTCCTCTATCCCTCGTCCTTGAAAACAACTCCCTCCCTGTCGCGCCACCGGGCATGTCCGTAGGCTGGTGCCGGGCATTTCGCTTCAGACTTCCTGAAACGAGGAACAAACAGGCGCAAGGACACAGGACGGGTGACTCCCTGATGCGTTTTCACAGTGCGGCTCTCGCTGGAGAGTGTCTTGCATTCTCCGAGCCGGAATTCTGAGCTGTGTAAGAACTCCACGGATGGAGGGCGGCATAGAGCTTCCGCAAAAGTGCTGCCAGGATTCGCTGAATCTGCGCAGCAGTTATGCACGCGTGGAGCGCATATTTCCTGGCCATCGCTCGGGCGTCCATTCCCTGTGTTTTTGCTCGGTTTCGTGCGTGGTTTTCGCCAAATGATCAAGGATGCTCCTCGACGATGGTCCTCGCCGAAGGAAGAATGCACACGCCCGAGCGACGCCGGGTTCCTCTCAAAGATGAGTTCGCTCCGAACTCGCCTGGGTGGCAGGCCCGCTGGGCGCTCGCCAGTCCAAAGGAGCGCCACTTGTTGCAGCGGAGGGCGGCCGGGGCGGGTCTCCAAGAAGCCCACGAGAGTGGCAACGGTTGCGCACCTGGCAGCCCCCAGGGGAGCGGGGTGGGAAGCAGGGCAGGAGGCGAGCGAAGAGACGCGAGGAGGAAGCGAGGTGGCAGCCCCGAGGGAAGCAGGGTGTTGACGCACCCAAGAAAAGTTCAGGAAGCAGGAGGCAAGTAGGCGGTGTGAGGGCAAGGCAGCAGTGCTCTCTGCCCCCCACACAACAAACAAACAAAAGCGCACCAAAACACAGGAGGGCCTGGGCTCTGGGGGAGGGGAGGAGCAAAACGAGAAGTCGGAGGGGCAGGCGCAGGAGAAGGCGAACGATGAGGATGAGGCGAGCATTGAGGAGGGCTGTTGGCAGGGCCGCAAGGACGCGAAGAAGAGGGAGCCGCCACCTCCACCTCCTCCTCCTCCTCCTCCTCCTCCTCCTCCTCCTCCTCCTCCTCCTCCTCCTCCTCCTCCTCCTCCTCCTCCTCCTCCTGCTGCCCCCCCTCTCACTCCCAAGCAGCGGCCGAAGGACGCGGCGGGAGCGGCGGGGCCTCTGCGCGCTGCGATCTCTCCTGGGATGGCACGGGAGGCGCTGGTGGGATAGCGCATCCTCTTCACCGCCGTCCTCCCTCTTCTCTTGCTCTTCGCATTATTGCCATCGAATTTTATTCGTTAGCATTATGTAGTTTATTGCTCCTCTCTTCTCTTGCTCTTCTCTTCTCTTCTCTTGTTCTTCTCTTGTTATTCGTTTATCTTCTCTTGCTCTTCTCTTGCTAGTGTTAGCATGATGAAGCTTCGTCTCATGATCATTAGTTGCATCCGTATTCTTAGTAGGAGTATGTTTTTAATACTACGTTTATTGCTGTCAGTTCTTCTTCTTATACAACGTAGTATGTGTTGTTGTTATGGTTTGTGTTCGTACTTCTTATGATTATTATTACTATCGTGATCGCTGTTCCCTCTCCTGGCTCTCCTGGTTCTACCGTGATCGCTGTTCCTCTTCTTATGATTATTATTACTCTCGTGATCGTGATCGCTGTTCCTCTCCCTCGCCTCTCCTGGCTCGCCCTTCCCTCTCCTCACCGTCCTTCCCTCCCTCGCCCCCCGCCATCATGCACTCCCTTTACGGACTGAGGCCGCCCGGACGCGGCAAACGGTTCCATCCTAAGGCACGAATCTCAAATACCTCATGCTTGTCATCGCGTTGATCCTGTTCATTATTCTCCTTGTTTTCCTCAACATCGCTCAAGGTGCCCCCAGCTCTTCGCTGAATTTTGGAGCCCCTGGGGCCTCCTGGAGCCATGGCGCGCGCTGCAGACGTCAGCAGGCAGGAGGACGGACGCCAGGGGGAGGCTGCGGCAGCGACTGGAGGAGGCGGAGAGGAATGAAGGGATGGGAGAGCGCTTGAAGGGGCGAATACAGGCCGCCGTAAGGCAAGCAGGCGAGAACTTCAGCATGCCGCGGGGTCCTCTAACTGGGTCCACGCCACCGCTCAAGAGTCGCAAGGAGGATGAGGACATGGACGACGCGGGTCCCGAGACGGACCAGCTGGCAGGCGTCCTAAACCCGCAGGCTTGGGGACATGATCGCGGAGAAGTCCGGGGAGCGCGACCTGAGGCTCCGGGCAGCGGAGGAGAAGGTCGAGGGGGTTGCCAAGGCCACCGACGAGGCCATCGGCAGCTTGGAGGACAAGTTTGATGCCTTGCACAAGGAGGTGGATGAGTTGAAAAGCAAGGGGGTGGAGGAGGGCATCGGGAGGGTCGATGAGGAGCTGAGGAAGAAGATAACCGACATGGAGACGAACCTTCACAATATCAAGAAGGAACACACGACCAGGAAGGTGGCAATTCTTTGGGGTTTTGGTCCAGGCACTAGCTTCGAGGAGGCGAAGGACAGCATCACCGACCACCTGAACAAGGTAGGTCACCAGGTTCCAGTGGATATGTATTACAAGGGGGAGGAGTTCACAGGTATATTTTTCGCACGTTCTTCTGATGGGTTAGCCCTGGACGCAGCCTTGGAGAGCATTCTGAGCCAGCGCCTGAACATCAAGGAGGGTTGGTGTGGTGTGGGCCAGATCGTCCTCTGCATGAGCGTGTGCCGTTGGGGCTCTTGGTTGGC